CAAGTACTGAGCATACAGTGCTTATTAATATACGTTGGGTACGGGCAAACTGTTATATATAAATATCATTTCTGGAAACAACTGACCATTTTGTGATTAACTAACCCACTCGAAAGCGATAATGTTAACATGTTTTGGTTTTTTAATTCAGTTTTTACACCTTTTGTCTACGGTCTCGCTTCAGCAATAATTTCACTTTTGGTCGGTTCAATCGTAATTTGTTCAGTGTGTAAAACTTTGAGAATTCCACCAGGACATGTAATAGTTTTTGTCAGTAAATATGATATCCAAACTGTCCATGTGTTTTTCCATCTGGTTCGATGAGCCAACACTGAAAAAAAATCATACATAAAATAATTTTAATTTTACACACTCTCAGGAAAAATTGTACTAAATAAAATTCATTCATATATTGAGTAAATTTTATTGAAAACCGACATGCGGCATGCAGAAGAGTAAGAATTTTTTCTGTGAGTACAAAGTGAACGCAGCTTTAAATGAGCCACCAAACTAACTTACTGCCGGTTTTAAAACAGACACTTATTAATCAGTTTAAAACATTGAATTGACATCCGAACTTAAAGATTGACATTGGACAACTACTTTCCGGCATAAAAAGTCAGTTTTTACTGAGAACGAATAATTTTGTTATGTAGACAAAGTTTCTTTCATTGCGTTGACTTTGAATTCCCTTGTTTGTAACTTCATTCAACAGAAACGTCAGCACTCTGCTTCTCACTTTGGTTTCATCTCTGCCCCGAAGAAGAATTCTGTCACTCATATCACATCGTCTGTCACACGATTTGGGTTCAGTGCGTCTTTAGATCCGACAAACACAAATCATGGCTGTCTTGGAGATTTTTCCGGTGAAATCTGGGGAAAACATTTCAGATGGTCCCAACTTCGAGATAGTAAAGTTTCATATAGGCCTACAGAGCCTGTAAGGCTAGAAAGACTGTCATAAGTTTCTTAAAAGGTTTAAAGCTAAGCATTATAAAGTACAACTTGAGAAATTTTCTGATACTTAAAAAGTGCGACTCACATTTCCTTCTGTTCCTTCTAAAGTTGACGTTGATCTCCGGTAATTCACTGCTGCGTACAGAGGCATCGTTCGGTTAATAAATTCCCATGCATGTTCTAAGGCATAAGCATTTACTTAATTATAACAGGAAACCACGCGCATTTCAAACATATTGTTAATCGATGCACGGACGAAGACAAAACAAGTGCCTTTGATTGTGTAAGGGTTTCATCATTTCAAGATCACTGAACTTCCAATTCTCGATACTGATGTAGAAGATACCTTTTCCTGTAGAGTAATTCCTGGTTTCTATGAAATGAGTCTGGCTGCAAGTATTCTGCTTGTTTTGCAAAGTCTGCTGGCTTCAAGTATTACCTGCATAATATACGCGAAGATGTGATGACGTCGACGGTGAGAACCAAACTGCTGTTGTGACGACGTGCTTCCAACTTTGTATAATTCTATTGCGGATGTCATGCTTTGTCATCATGTTCCCTGTGATTGGCCAAGAGCGTTGACATATCATTGCAACATGATGTCATACTTACGAATTAAGACACCAAACGTAAACGTGTCTGGACGTATTGGAATAAAAGTGGTAAACCGAGATTATTTTATGGGTTTAACCTGATTGGACAACGAAATCTTGATCGCGTCTTGGAGGCGTGACGCCAAAAGTCAAGAACTTATTTGGGCACTGGTGGGCCCTCAAAACTAGCCAACCGGTATTCCTTAATAATCTTGAATATAAAGTCACATAACACAGAGAAAATATCAGCGGGTGGAATCCACAAATCAGATGAAATGTTACTTGTTGGCTAGTAAGGCAACATGGGGCCTACATGTTTTCAAAGTAACCGAACTTTGTGTGTTGTAGGTAAAGATATTGATGTGAGTGATTATTAGGTATAAAGGTTATACTTCATGTTTCCCTACCTACCCTCATTTGCATGTTTGTGTGGTGATGGTGTAACTTTCAAAGTATTTTTTTGTGTGTGTATGGGGCTATTCGGGACAATATGAAATTAGAATTAAAGAAAGGAAAGATATGTCCGGTAAAATTAGAAGCAACGAAATTCTTCAGACTTATCCTTGCCACAGCTTATGCCCCTTTAAAGTTTTCGTTTTATTTAAACAAATGGCATCCGACCACTCTTGCTCTTATTCGACGTGATGCACGACTGTGCGACGCGACGGGCGACGGAAAATGTAACGTTTAGGCAGAAAGAAATGCAACAAGGAAAGGAACTAAGACAGCACGACACGACGGGAGACGGCACGACACGACGTACCACGCGACTCGTCGTGTGTGTACAAAAGTAATGGCAAGAGGGCGATGATGCGACCCTACGCAATGGAGCCGTCGCTACCCGCGATCCTTTGCAAATGCAACTCCGAGCATTCCTTGTAGCCCGCAAGCGGCGCGGAATTTGTTTTGTCCTTGCAGCACGTGCAGTGCTGGCGGTGGCCATCATTGACCCTTATAATATCTGTATGTGCTGACTCCTTGTGTTTAATAGCTCCATAGTTTGATCAATTTTTGGCGCTACTTGATATTTATGCTAGCTCGATTGAGCACGTCTTTGGCATGCATTCAGGTCTCCGCCGTCTGACGACGCCAAGGCACAGTCTATTAGGCCGGAAAGTTTTCAGAGTGACGATACTGGTCCTTGTTGCTATCACTTTTAAATATCGGGAAGATTGTCAGCAGTAGTCCGCTACTTCTTGACAGCTGACTCAACTTCGCTGTCGATGGAGTTTGACAGCGATCTAATGGCCTGAAAAATCTCGTCGTTTGGGTTGTCGGAAGGACACGCGTAGGTCTATGTTTAGGGGTGTACACAAGATGGAGTCAGATGAAATTGCTGGACCGAGAATGAACATGAGATTTGTTGAAATGAATTACGTAACCAAGCGCGCAAAGAATTTGTAATCACGCGCAGTATTGGTTAAGGAAACAACTCCGAATACGGAGCATGCATGCTTAAACGCAGCTTACTTGCTCTATGCTCCAAATTATTACTTTCATGTCGACAGAAAGAAAATTTCATCGTATTCAATAAACATGTCGGTTTTTACACGAAAAGGAAGGCGTAGCACCCTGATAATGAGCACAGGAAGTTCTAGTCTTGGGTCCAAGACGCCTTTCGCGGTGCTGCGATCTGATATGCGGGCTGTGTGTGGTACACACAGACATATAAACACCTAGATCACCTCTCTTTCAATCTAGAAAATATGTTGCGTCCATACAAATTCATCCGCTCTTTAAAAATTCATTCGAATCTAAACAAATCATGTATTGTATCTTCAAAATTTCGTTCGGTTTTTAGAAAAGGCAGTCAAAAATACGATCTTTATAAATGACATTCATTTCAAAAATACATTCGATTTTTAAAAAACCCGTTCGATTTTGAAAAAAGGCATCCCTTCTAGCAAAACATGTTGCAATCTTTTTGACCCGAATTCTGCTTCGTATCTATGAGTTTACACGTCGTTGGTGGCACATAATTTATGCGATTCGTGTGACAGCGCCCTCTTTTGACGCGTACCATGCAGTACCTCCCGCTAGCGATTCGTCTGGTTATGGTTCGGGTCGCTGAATAAACTAAAGGAAGGTCTTGAAACCAAGAGCAAGGGAGTTCAAAAACGCTTCAAACAGCTCGTCTTTATTTCCAACGTTATATCCTAAAAATAGTAAGAGAAATACGAACAGTACTTACCTCTTGAACTCAGATCCGTTTCTTCTTGTTAAGCCAAATATAGTCGCAACTCATCCGAACCGTAAACACACGTTGAAACTGTGGACTATGTTTTCCTTCATCCATGGTCTAACACATCGAGCGGTTCTTCCCACATGAATGCGCTCGCAACATCGCATACGCCCTGCAAAAACACCGGAGCCGTACGTTTCCTTACTCTATGGTCTAACCATAGGGCAAAGGTCATGTCCAGTTGATGTGTCTGTGCCGTCCATCGATGACTCGGGTTGTTACGTCCTTGGCCCCTTCCGATGCCCACTCGAGTCGAGTACATGTACAATTTAAGGCTATTATGACGATACGCAAGGATAAACAGTTTAAAAGGATGTCCCTCTATTTAGGGGGAGATCCGCGCAGACAATATATCTTAATTCTTTATGTTATTATTATTTATTTGTTTTAACCTTGACAGTCATCAACCCCCCGATTTCATGAATATGGTTTTACATACACCCTTCGGGGTTAGGGAAGATGTAATATGCTTTATGAATACAGTAGGCCTACGCACAAACGTAAATAAAATTCCTGCAGAGCATAAAACACTTTGTTTTGTCCATCTGTACTGGCCACAGCCATATACATCAAATCAAAATAATATAGTACATGCATTAAACGGTACGTTCCTTCAGTTTATTTTATCCCGTCCAAAACTACCTAACACCCCGTGTAAAATGAAATATTCCCATTCTTCAGTTTATGTTAATAAGGGTCATTCGGGGCCAAACCCAGCCTTCTGATTGGCCAAGCGTCTGTCAGAAAGGGATTAAATACCCGGTTAGACGGGCATCACTACTGATATCTACCTATTTCGATTGGCATGGACCACTGGCAGGCGCTCAAAACAAAGAGATCGCTCCAAGCTTCCTCCAATAAGATAGCCTGATCCCGAAACGGAAGTGCTAGGAATGCCGGAATAGCCCGAGCCCATTTGACCGTCATAAAGAGAAGGCGTGCTGCACACTCGTAGATATTTTCGACCATGTTGTTCGTGGAGTTTAGGTGAAGCTTGCAGTCAGTGGCATTGTCCAGACTGTGATTGGATGGCGCAGATGCTAATGATTCTAATGTTTCAAATTGGTAAGAGAAAACAGTTTTGTTTTGTTTGTTCGTTTTTACACACAAAGAAATGCTGGAAAACAGAGCTAAATCAAAGACGAATGGCCAACTCCAGAACTTGGAAAGAGAAAAAAGAAGAATAAAAAAATAACCCAAAACAAAAAAGAAGGGAAGCTGAAGTATACTTCCCAGTGGGGGTATCGGACCTTATCTGTTGACCCTCAGGCATCTTAGAAGTTTATGCTTTAGAAAATGAACAAGCAGCTTTGTGGTTTAAGGTGATGTCCAAACCCTTACCGCTGATGGTATGCATTTGGATTACCCATAATGTTTTCCTGTACACCTTTCAAAAATTGTTTTCAAAAATTAATTGAAAACAGTATTAATTTATGCTACATGAAAGAAAGGTTCACTTTTCAGGGGCTAGTCAAAATAAAGAAAACATTTGAGTGAAAACATCAACTAACATTTCTGAATCTTCGATTACACGTTTTAGCTATCTTTTTAGATTTTCTGATGAACTGGTTAGATGTTGATTCTACAAATGTTAATTTTCTCCAAAAATCAAGATGAATCACCTGTCTCGCGGTGATGAGCCCTAGCCCCGTTGTTCTGCATGTTGATAGAGGTCATCTGCCTTAAATCAAAGGCACGGTCCGCTAGCAGCAGGCTGTGCAAAAACGGATGCGCTAACACATCCGCGAGAATTGGCGGAGACAAATTGGTTGGGTAATCTGAGGCAACCGGTGCGAAGCCTGAAAGGCGAGCATCATGGTTGAAGATGCCAGTCGGTGGTGTCAAAGGGATGTAGTCCTCTTTGCTCGATCTTGAGGGCTCGCACTTATCAGGGCTGTGATGGTTGTACTGATAACATCGCGGTGCTCGTTCGTGCTGAACAGCTGCTGGATCAAATATGGCCATCAAAATAGCAAATGAAACAAACAAACAAAAACACAAACAAAACCCCGAAATAATAAACAAACAAGCAAAAATGACCGAACAAGCATGAACCCAACTGGTTAACCTCGCACTGTTCGAAAAGTAATAAACCTACTTGACTAAAACAAGGTGAAAACAAACAAGTTTGGTTCAGGGCATGGGCGTCGCCGGGGGGGGGGTTGCCCCGCCCCCCAGAAATAACCAACCAACCGACCGAACCGAACCGGATTGGACGGCCAAGTGCCTCTAAATCACAACTAGGAAGAAAGCATATTTCATTCCAAGAAGAATGCTAAGAACTCGAGAGTAGCAAACTGGAAAACTATCAACATTGTAAATGAACATTTCAGAGGCATTTTCACAGAAGTTCAGCCTGGCAAATTTCACACTTCCATCCTTGTTTTCTATACCCTTTTCGTCTCCTTTTGTTTTATTTTTCCTATTTATATCAAAGGCCCCTGCTCTGAATTCAGTCAACAAATGTTCTTTGGCCAAGTCTTGCGCGAACTGAAATGAGCTTCACTGATAATTTTCGTATATTGCCGATTGCCGTATTTTTCCGATCGTTTGCTCGAAGAACTAAATTACGTGCTCTTTTTAATTAATTAAATATACTGTATCATATTTGCGCAAAAAGGGTTGAATATGATATGAAAGTCAGTTGCAATTTGTTAAAATGGAAAAAGAAAGCGTGTGCTTAACTTTAAAAACGAAACCAAAATAATAAATACTAATAAAAACAACATCAAAGCACTAATTCGACTACACTCGCAGTTCCAATGAAATTTACAATGAAAAGCTCGAAATATCATCAGAAAATCCAATATGTCGACCGATAGTCCTTCGGGGCGTTCACGATCTCGTAGGAAGCAACAGCTGGTCGGCTCCTCTCTCTCTGCAGAGAGCAGACAACCAGGCAGCTGTCAGTCCACCATCCATCGATTGATGAGCGACAACCGCCTACCTAACCCATGGCCTTTGACTGAGGGGAGTGCAGCTTGCATGGGAGACCAAAAGTAACCAACCAACCAACCAACCAACCAACCGACCGACCGACCGACCGACCGACAAACAAACAAATAAACAAACAACCCAACAAACAAACAAACAAACAAAAAGTGTAGAAGGGCTTTAGAAAATGTGTTGTTTGGTTTGGTTTTTACATCCCTGGGGTTCTAGTTTGGAAAGCTCTTTTACCACCCATCATGCAAACAGAACGACAAACCATGGGAATTTTCATGTGAAAAATAATGTTCCGAATGTACAAGCTGGTGAATGTACATATATTTGAGAAAAAAGTTCAGCGTGGTCAGGGTGGCAAAGCACTCATCCGCAACAAAGTGAAGACTGTTCATGATGGAATGCGGGCATTTTCGATTCTTTTTTTCAAGTAAATTTGTGATTTCCATCCCCTTTCACCTCTTTTTCATTTCTCTTGTCTTTTTTCCTTTTCTGGGTCAGACGTAGTGGCAGAAGCTGTTTTGTTGATTCTTTTCGTTCAATGGCGTAGTTATCACTATTCTATTTATCCAGCTTTTTCAAACCTCGACTGGCTTGACCTAAATATCGGAACAAGGCCAACAATGACGATGGCCTGTTATTGGAAAATAATAGATACAGAGAGAAAGCAAACACTGAGCGGGTCCACAAAACTGCGCTGTGGTACATGTAATAGGTTGCCAGGCCGAAGCGCCTTTTTTTACTTGGCGTCGATGCTTTATTGAACCATTCCCCCCCCCCAGCTGAAGGACAAGGACACGCCACCAAATGCCATCCGATGCCAATGTCTACAAGTTGCCGAGAGCACGAAACTTTGGCCAAGCAAAACCAGCTTGCAACATCTTGTAACATATACCAATTATGAAATATTTTTAGTCGAAGTTTGCTGGAGTACGAGGCTGGAGTTTCTTCAGACATCGTAATTTATCTTTCCCGGTCTTTTTCAGTTGTGTTTGCAGTATTTGCAGCACATCAGAATTTGTGATGCCGTTGTAAACAACAGATTACTAATGGATACTGGTTGAACAACCGGGCATGGTCGGGATTCGTGGTCCAAAAACAGAGGATTACATAGAAATTTATTGGTATCATTTTAATAGATTAGACAAACGCATCGTCCGTTTTGGGGCGAATGTAAATGTACCCTCAGGTTAGCAATACAAAAAGGGGATCATCATTTGATTTATACGAGTGAGCAATATTTCGATATGAAAGTAAGCAAGCAATTAGGCCTATTAGTGTTTAAAGTTTGATTTCTTTAAAGAGAAGAAGTTCCCAAACAGGAGGAAAGGAGAAAACGTAATCCATCCGTTTGAAATCTCCGTAATTCGTCTAAGCCTCTGTCGAGGGCGAAATATTCAATAGGATGCGCGGAAATGAGCATAAAAGCGCATCACATGCACACTGCGTAGGCCAAATAGACCACTTCCAGTAGGAAGTAACCTCACATGAATGTACGGGTGCGTTATATAGAGTTGTGAAAGCGTGGAACCTGAAGTCCAACATTCATGTACAAACCATTGGACTGACAACAGTGAGTAAACTTACTGCAATACCAGCCACTTGGAGTTAAAGTTTACTAATTTGACACGGAAACCCACAAACCCTAATTGTCCAGATCTCGAAGATGCATTTTCGTTGGTTGCAGCACTAAGTGACCTACTGTCCATAGACTTGGTGGTGCAGCAACTATCCACGACACGTCAGTTTGTGAGGCAACCAACGAAATATTTGTTTTAATACGATGTTATCCTTTTGGTCATTAGCTTTTAGAACAAAACACCATAAGCACCAAAACAGCTGAGAAAATTCTGAGGTAATAATTGGTTTACATCGCGTGCTCAAGGTCTGATGGGAGACAGGTTTTTGTTTTTATACGACCTCATTGTCTGCTGTGAGCCCAGGCTTATTACAAGTTGATCAATGGTTTAGACGGTTAGGCCATTGTATTGAAACAGGACAGCAAAGTCATCCTTCGATCGCGACGCTCTAGTGATGGACTCGGGACCCCGACAATGACGTGCAATATAATCCATTTTTAATCAAACAGATAATAGGCAGCTGTCGTATGACTTTTTTCTTATTTTTCTAATATATATTTTTCGGGCGATCTGTTTTGTATACATCTAATGGCATTAATGCTGATGTTTTGTTCCTCGTAAAGAAACGATATTTCGATAATTCTGTAATAATTCCTGTAATTTGCCTTTGATGACCGAAATGGGCTGAATATCATCAAACGATACGTCCCATATACGGATTGCGCGCTGCCCAGCCTCCAAACTATGGCTGTTTTGACATGAATTAATTCCTTGATTAAATTCAGTTGATTCGATTTGACGAACTGTGTTACAATAACTCCTGACCACCTCACATCCTGAGATAAAGACATTCTATTTCTTGCTTCATGTAACGAATTCCTTTTGTCAAAGCAGGCCACACCCTCGCCTATGCAATGACATTATTGTTTAACCAGAACTAGATTAATATTCAAAACAGCACCTCTCCTGACTTGCATTTCTGAATCCTCAGCATTTCTTTCTGAGGACATGTTGTTTTAGTGGGAACTGGTAATTATTCTGCAATGCAATCTCTTTATTGTTAATACGCATTGATTCCATATGCACTATATTATCACAAACGACCATGGGTTCTTCAGTTGGTGCCAGTTACAATAAAAAAATTCAATTGCTGTCTTAGTCAAAGTATTCGTTTCCGTTTGTGAGATGCTAATTATACTGGCCCTATATTTAATCAAAATTACGACAGTTAACGAAATTTGTCTACCGTCAAGAAAGTGAAGTACAACACCAGGCGTCTTCAATGTTAACTGATTCAAGAAAGTTAAGCAAATTTGTAGGCGGATGTGTGCTAAACTTATATATGGACTATAGTGAACAAGAGATGTCCACCCGATCCAGGAAGGGAAGACGTTTTGTGGAGTTACCCATGTCCACATGACATTTGCCCTTCTCTGCAAAAGAAGTTTAGTGGCATTTTGGAGTTAAGGTTATCGGTCGTAAAAGGAACAGGAACAGTCAAGGAAACATTTTACAAAAACCCAGCTGAAAATCGCATTGTTCATTTTAATCACAGGAGTTCATTAAAAGGGAATTGATACTTAATCAACAATTTCAATTCTAAACAAAATAATCGGTACTACATGTATATGGATTGGAACGTTGTATACCAAGATACTTCAAGACATTGCAATCTAGGCCTAATGCCAAAACCAAAACAAAACTCCTCCTTTACAAGGCAAAGACCAATAAGAAAGAAGACGAAAAGCCCTTTGTTTATCCCACTGTGGATTTTCCCAGTTTTGTCAAAATAATCCAACGTACCGTTCCTGTTCATGTTCACTTCCACGCACTTCTTGAATCGACATGCCTGACACTGGTTTCGACGGGTAAGATCGACTACGCATGACCCATTCTCCTTGCAGACATAGGCCATGTTACGCCGGACGCTTCGCTTAAAGAACCCACGGCAACCATCGCAGCTGAAGACGCCGTAATGCTTGCCCGAGCTACGGTCTCCACAGACCTGGCACAGAATGTCGGGTTTCTTGCCGGATGACATGACGGGCGAGTTGAGAATGAGGCACGGGTCTTGCAAGGCTGTAACACGGTGAAATAATACCACAGAATGGAAAACTATCAAACATATCGTCTTTGACGTCATTATGATTTGCAATGGAAATGTACACGAGAGTGAGTTTTCCCAAACTTTTTTTTAAATAAAAAGAAGATAATTTAGCTTCTAATGATATAAAATGTTATAAAATAAAGACAAATGTTTTTATTACCAGAATTTTGTTGGAGACTAAACACGAAGGCTTTAAAGTCAAAAGTGTGAGGAATTAGGATTTTGGTCTGTTACTGCTCGGGTGAAATGTTTAATCATGGTTAAATACGTGTTTGATAAATTACAAATGAATCACTGATATTTTGCAGTTCATTTTAAACCAGGTACGTGTTACATGATGCGAAGAACGACAATTGAGTGTTTCCAGTACACTTATACCTTAGGAAAATTTTATTGCCAACAAGCCCAATAGCGCTCTTATTCAAGTTGATATTGTCACGGTCAGATCGATACTCTCTCGGTCAAAACGACAATGTCTCGGTCAAAACGACAATGTCTCGGTCAAAACGACAATATCTCCGTCCAACCAATGCTTCCGCTATCAAACCAACACTGTGTCGGTCGAACCGATACTTTGTCTGTCACTCAGACACTGTCTGCAGTCTTAATTATTTTATTTATATCTCTTCAAGTTGGCCCCTTCCCCCCGCTGGATATGCAATCGACCTAGGTGGGATTCCAGGGGTGGATCCAGAAATTTTTCCAGGGGAAGGGGTTTGACCGAAAATTTGTTAATTTTTTTCGACAAGTAGAAACGATGATGAAACATCACATATGGCATACCTTGTTTACAATGGTATTGTTGCACTTTCTTGAGTTATTTTCAAAAATATTTTCCCAATTTTGTACATTTGTTTGCTCACAGCAAATCCAGGCCTGGATTCGAACCCAGGTCGCAGAGGTGGGACTCCGTTTTGGTCTATAACCAGTACTTTCTCTGTAAAACCGTCACTGCCTCCGTCAAACCGTCACTGTCTCCGTCAAACCGGCACTGTCTCCGTCTAACCGGCACTGCCTCGGTCAAGCCGAAACTGTCTCAGCCAAACTGACACTGTTTCGTCCACACCAGTATCACCTCGATCAACATCCAGTCAAGTCAGTCAAAATTGTCAGCCAAACCAGCAATTGGAACCGACATTGTGTTGGAAAAATTGGTAATGTCTCTGTCAATACATTTGTCTGAGAAGCAAGCACAAGCGAACTATTAGAGAAGTCTTACTGTATAAAGCCGTCGATCGTTTTCAACATCAAAACCACACATGTACGACGTATGAAAATTCTCACACTCCAGCTATTTTTGCAAAGCGGATGAGCTCAACCCTCAACAATGAGGTACTAGTTGATTTTACGCAACAAAGATAACAAATTTATTTAACATTTCGACGACACGCATCTGCTCTTGATATTATACCGGTGTAAATAAAATTGTGTTCTGGTTGTTCTTGTATTACGACAAAATAACATTTATAAGTTGGCATTTCAGACAAGAAAGACTACAATATACGGTGCCCACCGCCTATTGGCTTTGAACGAGAACGAAAAACCCAAAAGATAGCCAACGTAGAGGAACACAGCATTATCCCAACGAAATCATGCAAAAATCTCAGGGGGATTTAGTTTTGAAAAAACTGTAGATTTAGCACGACACTTAACAAAAGAGGAATAAAAGTACAGTGACAAGACAAACGAACAACCATAAAAAAACAACCTTACCTTGATTTTTTTTCTCCATGGACTACGATCACAAGTCAATCCGTGCAAACAAGTGGAGTTGCCTTGTGCCAGCTGAACAGTGCAAGCCAACCTCAGCCGATATTTCACGGACTGTCGGTGGCAGTGAAGGGACCGAACAACTAATTGAATTGTGCTATAGGCAATTGCCCATAGAGATGTACTACGGTTCACCAATCCACCGATCTCAACGTCACCTGATCCTTTGAACACAGAGTCCTTTATGTGCGCTTTGGGTGAATTGATATTGCTGATAATCTAGGCATTATAAAAACAATAGGATCTTATAGCTTATGCATGTGTGATTCCGCACACAGCACAGCCGGCTACCAGAAGTTAGTGGCGGTTGTTTTATGTTCTTGGGATCGTCCGTAAGAATTTGTAAGCCATTACAATTTTCAAAGAGAATACATATACATTTTAAGTAGTTGTTGGTTTGTTTGTTTGTTTGTTTATACATGCATAAAAAGTTCCATTTTCAGTGCTTCCGATTTCCGGACTACGTAGCCTGGCCCTAGACAACTGCCTGGGATTGGTGGCCATTTTAATTTTTGATTAAAAAAAGTCAACAAAAAAACTGAAACACATATTTATATTCAATTATAAAAAAGCTCAATAAACTCGCCAGTACTGCGCAACCATGTGCCAATTTTCTTTTGTAACTTCGTATCAAAATAAAGCGGAATTAAGATTCACAGCTTCACCACAATGTCCCTGGACGGGACATATTTGCACATGTATTCGGTTTATATTAAATAGCAAGTCAGTATTTTAAGATCAAATATTTGGGATGAGTGCGACCAAAATAAGGAAAATTAAACAATTAAACCACACATTTTGAATGGCCCTCAATTTTTCAACTGATGCAACAGCCGTCTAACGAAGTATCCTCCTCCACAAACAAAAAAATGCGTGAGAACTACCCAGGTGGAAGTTCCGTGTGGAGCGAATCGCTCGCGCGATCTCCGTGTCGCGATCTGTGAACTGAATGCTAGCTTTCTGGTTGCCACAGAACATACACAAGATAATTTACCATTTTGTTGCGTATTTAATAATTTTTGTTTGTTTGCAGTTGCAATCAAGTTGATCTTGAATTGGGGTTCAGGGAATTCTTAGAGTTGCGTCCATGTCAGCTTCATGGCTGCGCGTGATCAGGCACGCGTTGTCTTACTGACGTGATGGTGGGCGTATCGACCACTGCAAAAAGGGAAAATGCTAATTCATAAAAACAAACACGTAGATACAATCCAGAGAAGGAATAAAATATACTCAAATAAAAAAGTATGAAAAAGAAAAATACCTCATTAAGAAATGAAAATAAAAAACATAACAAGAAAAAACAAGACAAAATCTAAAGTTTATAAAACAGACAACAAAACTGGACACTCATGAAATGGATGATGCGTAATAAATTGGGGTATATGCAAATTGGGGTATATGCAAATTGGGGTATATGCAAATTGGGGTATATGCACCTCGAAAAACCTCGAGCAGCAGAAGCTTCTCCCTTATTGCTGTCAACGTTGGATCCAGAACCAAATTTTCGGCAGTTGCCAAAACATTTTGGGCATGGAACATAGAAAATAGAGACTTTGCTGGGAAACTCATATAAGGCTGGTGAGTTGTGCTTTGCAAAGTCTAGGTTCTTGCAACCTTTCCCGAATCAGGTCATTTGCATACGACGAAGGGTCGACTCACAGGGTTTGCTCAAGTCAAGTTGCCGAGTCTGATGAAAATCAACTGTAGTTATCGCATAACTATTACTAAGTAGCGTAGCTATGTGTTGCCATCTGGTGATAAAACTGCACATTTAACTGCGGCTGTGTGAAATAGTCACATTTCATTTCTTTGTTTTGCCCCTCGAGAGGATTTGTGCATGGCAGAGAAAAGCATGTGGACCGTTTCTGACTTTTAGATCGGACTCACAAACTTTAGGGCCTATAGTGTGCTCTTTTATGTCCCACTATTCTCACACATTACTTTAAGGATTTCAACAAAGATAAAGACCTGTTAACTCTTGAAAAGTATGAATTAGCCACTTTTTTATTGAATACTTGACGTCCCATAAAGTTATACTAAACACAGATGCTGGGTTCAGCAACGCATATCAATCTGAGTCCAGCCCAAGCCCACCCTCACAAGATTGCTTTTAATACTGAATGGCATTTTCCTGAGAACTTCTTAGTTGAGAGAAACCGTTCCTCGGATTTATAAGAGAACTTTGCTGTGTGTTAAAAAGAGGGCATATAACCACCCCTTTCCCTCTTTTTTTCACACTAAATTAACCTCAATTTATTTCTGTTGTTTCACACTAACCTCCCAATGGCCATGGACTTCGCTTGACAATAGTCATGAAGAGACAACCATGACAGTCTGAATTTCACTGACACGGATAGCAAGGATGCACCATTATCTTTGTGGCAATGACGTTAAATCATTTTAGAAATCTCCATGACGTGGCACTGCCCTGTGAACGTGAGGAATATCAAGTTTGGGATTCATCATCATCATCATCATTTGGTGATTTGGGAACGATTTTGCATTTTATCTACATTTCATTTCCATCTAACTACATGCACATGCTAAACACTGCATATAAACGTCATATAGAGAAGCCCGGATTTATTGTTTTATGGAATTAACTGTAGTCCAGTATTTCTCTCACAAACGTTCAAGCAACAAGTAACCGAACTGTTCATTTTCAGTTTCTATCAATTCTGACTCGCCCATTTTCACAACCGGTGATCGATCCTATTTTGGAGGGAAATTTCACCATTGACGGCTACATTCATTAACGTTTGGCTTGATGCATGCTAATCGGTTAATGGCCTCTGATACGCTGATTTGCCTATCGCGTTACATTGCAGGCATAATCTAGTTTATCTTTTTTGCATCAAATGCCAGCAACAAACCAACGGCCAAATTTGTCATTCTGGGCACACTGCCGGCCAACAGTCAACTGACAATTTGCATTCTGTGTATTTTTCTTCTTCATATGGCACAATATCGATATTGATCCAGATGTTGGGCGGGGAACACTGATATGGCACGGTAATATTTGCTGAATCGATGACCGAACGACTTGCCAACACAGTCATTAATCACTCAATCTGGATTCACACTGTTGATGTGTGTAGGGCCCTCGATCTTAGCCAAGTCAACATCGACCAACCCAGCCAACATAATACATACCTACGGAGGACGAAAAATGGTCATCTGCTTTTCTGCTAGCAGGATAGTAGAAAAGCAAATTTTACGTCTTAGAAACATGCAATTTCTTACTTTTGTACCTGTCTGTCATCTGAAAGCACAACGAACATTTAGTGGTAATACATTTTTCTACTTTTACTTTTCCTCTGTTGTTCGCTAGTTGCAGTTTAACATAAATTATGCGACTAGCCCAGTAAATTTGGATGCTGAATATTTAAAAGTAATAGAAATTGAAAACATTTAGTTCGCTTGAAGTATTTCAAAATAACAATACACATCTAACCATTTCAAAAACTTCATAACTTTAATGTTTACCCCATTAATTGTGACCCCCTAAGTAGATCATGCGTTTCCCCGCCCACAAAATCTTCCCTTTTTGGCCGTTCGCGCTCACAGGCTGAATGGATGACGTCATCGCCAGAACACTGACATGTACAGTGTAATGTACAGAACATGTACTGCACATGTACATAACACAGTACATGCAGTATTGCACCCTTGCAATGGTTTATGGTAAATTCATTTTCGGTAACGAAGAATAAAAGGCAAATTATTCTTTGAGCTCCTGCTTGATTCGTGCATATGGTGTTCTAAAGCGGACAGGCAAACATGTGGGTGAGTTTGAACGTTGTGTTTGTGAGTTTGAACGTCATGTGTTCGTGTTTAAACGTCGTGTTTGTGTATGCGTGTGGATCGGACGGCCGTGTTTTCCTTCTTTTTTCGTTTGAACGTGTCGTTTTTACATGGGATTTTACCTCTAAGGACCTACTTGTTTTTAATGATTATTGCCGACTTCTTGGACTTCTGTTTTTAGAGAATCCTGCAGATTTTTAAGGATCTGTGGACCTTTTTAATTAAATTAATGTGACGCAGTTGTTTTTTACACATTGAGTGACTGTCATGTGTCATGGCGGCGTGTATTTATCGCACACGGCACAACTTCGATGGTACCATTTTACTGTTTGTGTTACTCGAGATTATTTTTAATTCCTTTTACTTTATTACCAGCCAAGAAACCAACCACGGATATACGAGTATACACCTAATTGATTGTCATCATTCTAGTGGATCTCCAGCAATCATGCAATGATTCATGTAGGCCTACTTGACATGGTAATGCTTTCATATACATTTACGATCCCAGCTGGGAACTCATCGCAGGGTGATACGCATAAGACACGGATATTTATCAGGATCATTAATTTCAAATCATTGAGACATTAACCCCGTTCTCTACTTTGTTTGAGCCTTGATTCATCTGGAGACGTGGAAATGAACCCATGACCTTAGAATATAACAAAACCTGTGGAGAATGTTTAAAGACAATTAAATCAAATGGACTTAAAATTTTATGTTAGGAATGCAACTAATTCCTACACATCAAGTGTGCAGGAATATCACGTCCAGAGTACATAAAGATACAAAACCAAACCCCTTTCACCACGCTCACGGCTTTGTCCTAAATGCTGTGCACCTTGTGGAATCTGTCGTGGCAATGTTTTGAAGGGCCACAAAGCAGTACAGTGTGATCGCTGTAACTTAAGGATACACACCAGCTGCTGCGACATTCATGATCAGAGTTATGAATCATTGATAAATTTGTCATGATCGTGGGCTCGTCCTCCGTGTAATTATTTCAACTTCTCGGACTCCTTTTCAACAACTCAGGCATTCTCACGTCAAATTCATTTCATTATGTGTGATGCGCTCTCAAATGGAATTTTTCCAATGATACTGAAACTCGTCAAAATATAAAGAAGAACAAATCAACTTCACGAGCAAAAAAAGGAATTTCAAAAGCATCCTCATCAATTGCCAAAGCATTAAAGGAAAGGCAGCAGATGTCCAAGTTCTAGATGAAATTCACAAACCAGATGTAATATGCAGCACTGAGTCTTGGCTTGATCCTTCTTCATCAGTAGGAACGAAATCTTCCCTCCACGTTTCGTGTGACACTCAATACTGCGGGAGGGGTTTCTACGCTACCAAGGATAACCTTATAACAACGCAAATAACAAATCTTGAAACCGACTGTGAATGCATCTGGACTGAAACTCAGATCAAAGGAAAAAAACCTATAATTATAGGAACATTTTACCGAATTTCCGATGATCAGCAGGGAGAAAAGATTGATGAACTAAACTGGAATTACCAGAACTCAACACGCATGATATTATTGTTACTGGCAATGTTAACCTTCCAACAATAAACTGGGACAATCATCAAATTGTGTCAAGAAATGGATATAGTTCAATCGCTGCGGGTAAATGAGCGTCCCTTATTGAAGAACATGGACTGTTCCAGCACAAGAAGCGATCCAAGGTAACTCAAGTAATATTCTGGATCTTGTGTTTACTAACATGCCTGACTTGATAAAAAAAACTGTCAATTGTCGAGGGCATTGTAGATCTTAGTACAGTTGTCTTTAATATAACATATCGCCCAGATCAAACGTTGCCCTAAACGGAAAGTTTTTATCTGCAATAAGGCCAACAAGATGGGGATTCAACAATTGTTTCAGAATTTCAGAGGAATAAATGCAAGCAACGGTCAGTCAGCCGATAACAAATGGAACAGGATCAGTACCAAGATTGCTGACATTATGAACAAATTCATATCTACTCATATTACTTCGTCAAGACACAACTTACCTTGGTTTACACCAAAAGCTGAAACAAATCTGCAAACGGAAAAAAGGCCAATATATAAAAAAAAACCCAGATTACACTCACACTGACAGCGATTTTAAACAAGTTTTCAAAATCAGCACGGCTAAATCACATGTACAGCAGAGAATTCTTGAATCCACTAATCATCGATAAAGCCAAAGCTTTCTGAAATTTCAGGGGATTGGCGACTTGAACAACAACAGGGATGTCATCAGTGACGATACGCAAAAAGCTGAAATTCTGAATGGTCAGTTTGAAAGTGTGTTTACTCAGGAAAATCCCAGTAATTCACTATCAGATTGGGGTACAAGCCCATATGATTCTGTTCGTAATCTTGTCATTTCAACAAAAGGAGTCATGGACCAACTTCTGAAAATCAACCCATCAAAGTCTCAAGGCCCAAATGGGATACCCCCTGGTTTTTGAAGACTTTCGCCGAACAACTGGCACCGATCCTGAAAGACCTGTTCAAACGTTCTGTCGACTCGGGTCAAGTGCCAAAGACTTGGACATTACTTCCCTTTTTGAAAAGGACAACAGGGCTGAAGCAGCCAACTACCGACTTAAGTCATTGACCCAGTCATCTCCAAGCTTCTTGACCACATATTTTAGTCATTAGGAAGCATTTTTATAAAGAATATATTCTGCCTGTCAACATGGCTTTCGAGCTAGAAGGCCAACAGAAACTCAGCCTATTTTCACAACCCATGACACCACTAAAGCTCTAGATGAGAAACAATCAGTCGATGTTGCTATATTAGATTTCGCAAAAGCATTTGACAAAGTCCTTCATCGTAGGTTAATCCACAAACTCAAGTATTATGGAATTAGAGGGTCACTTGCTACATGGATCAAGAGCTTTCTGATGGGTAGAACTCAACAGGTAGTAGTAAATGGTGCAACTTCATCATCACTTGGGTTGGGTCACTTGAGGGGGTAGGCCTACCACAGGGGACAGTCCTTGGTCCATTACTGTTTCTAATACATAAACGACTTACTGGGAAAAATCACATCGAACGTTAGACTATTTACAGACGTTTGCTTTCCGTATACACCAGAGGTGACAGCAAGTCATTTTTTGCAAGTCCAAATCAAGTCACAAGTCATTATACGCAAATCCAAGTCAAGTCACAAGTCACTTGGTCTAAACACAAGTCAAGTCACAAGTCTCTTTGTCCAAGTATAAGTCAAGCTGCACATTATTTTGTCCAGCTGTAATAAGCAAAAAGAAACAGGCGTCAACTTACGAAGTTACGAGTTATTAAAAAAAATATAGGGCCGGTAGAGTAGCGTCTGACTTGAGTTGGTGACAAGTCATTTTTTGGAAGTAAAGATTGGAATGCATTGCCTGCAAATATCAGAACTTCACGGGAGACATTTAAAGATGGGTTAGCTTAAGTTTTTTATCAAGAATGACATGTCTGGACGATCCATGCAATGCGCAGGCTTGTGTGGTGTGTCCTAACGGACATTTACTTGCCGGTTCAACTATACAGATAGTTCGAACCGCGTGTTTGTGAATTGCAAACGTCGTGGTGTGAGTTCGAACTTCGTACTTGTGAGGTTGAACGCCGTGTCTGCGAGTGGTCAGGGCCGATGTTACGGATCATTAGCATGATTTTTTTCCCTTGATAAAAACAGGGTTATCAACCAAAATGTTCACGTGTTATATATTGCTTGTGACTGGTGTTCAGCTGATGTTCGCTTATGATACAAATGACATGGATTTTTGGCTGGTAACCTGGTTTTTCCTGAGGGAGACAACACTGTGCTAAGCGAATTTTTGTGCTTATCGGCTTCATGAAATTGGCCCTGACCACTAATAACAAACATGACATTCCAACTAAGCACGACGTTCTAACTCACTAACACGATCCACGTTCAAACTCACACGACGTTTGCCTGTCCGCTTTAGAACACCATCGTTTCCTCCTTAACATTTAACCGGCGGGATTCCTCCAGTTTCATTACCCGGTGGCGGTCCCCAAGTTCGGAGGACGTCTGTAAGACGTCTGGATACTAAGTACGGGACGGGAACCATTCTACTTTTTGCCTCTCAAAGACAAGCAGAAAAGTGGATCGAACGTAATTTGGTCAGCAACTGTGAATTCCCCTTATCCGCTTTTTGATACTGAGAAGCAGATTTTACATAGGCGTCTCAAAGTGGCCATCTGCTTTCTGCCCTCAAAAGGGCCGTGAACCGGGCGCGGGGTCGTGAACCAATTTCCCTTGTGGGAGAAACCAGTAATTTCGGTCCACCCTATCTTTTGAATGGTGCTCTATTGTCGACAAAATTGCGTCGCATCGTGCCGTGCGCATTATGCCGCCAAATCGTGTCGTTTTTTGATGCCGTCGCGTCTTGCCAGTGCGTCGTATCGTACCGTTGTGAAGTCGCCGTCATAACGTTGCGTCGTGCCGTCTCCTGTCGTTGGATGGTTTTTATGCACTGTGTGCTAGGCAGTCGCATCCTGCCGTCTTGCTGTCGAGTCCTGATGTCGTGCCGTCGTGTAATGTCGATTGCACCGCCGTGTCATGCTGCCGTGTTGTGTCGTCGTCCATCATGTCATGCTGTAATGCCTTACTGTTTCTATAAATGGCTGGTGATTTATGGTGCTCGATCTATAGCTGTCAAAATTGCGTCGCTTCGGGTGTCACCCCGATGCCACAACGCGACATTACAATAGCTCAGTCGTGTTGTGCCGTCGCGCCGCCTCCTTTCTCACCACTTCTATGCTGTGTTTAATGCATCCCATCCTGCCATTGCATCGTGTGCCATCGCGTCATGTTATTTCTTGATGGCGTCATAACATTGATGCCGTTGTGACGTCGCATCTTGTCGTCATAACGTTGCGTCATCGTCCATCGTATAATGCCATCGTGCCTGACTTTCTAAAAAATGTTTTGTGATTACCATGGTCAATAGAGAGCGTATGTTTTCACGTACCAGTTACTCAAAGGCACTGGATGTCATTTCGATATGAATCTACAATTAATTCGGTAAAAAAATCAGTCGTGCTAATCTATACGGACGCAAGAAACTCACGACTCAATTTTAATCCGGACACAATTCGAAAAATAAACACCAAAGATCAGAAGCAATACGATTTCGAGCCAAGTAACATCAGCATTTTCAAAGGTAATAGAAAAAACCAAATGCACTGCAAAGTGCAGAACTTCCCCAGGAAAAACTACTACATCTCCCCCAAAGCTAACTACCATTCACTAGAACACGAAAGTTTGAGTGTTGCTTTTCATTCAGTCATTAACCTGTTGGCCCTACATACTGAGCATTTTCATAATGACGTCAGGCATGATTAACTTTTGCAAAAACGGAAGATCTGCTTATTATCGTATTAACGCGGCACGGTAGGTAAAGTTGTACTTTGAGAAATGTGCCCAATTTTTCCTTCATTACGACGAACATTGTGGTTATTGCAGAGTCCAACTTGAAAAGCTGAGCATACCTCTAGCCTTTTAATGGATGGTTTTAACACAAGAAAAAACCCAAACAGGGACGCTTAAAGCCTATAGATTTTAGCAATTTTGAATGATGAATGAAAACAATCGTTGGTGTTGGAAACAGTCAACACAATTATAAAGGGACAAAAGATGAGCAAGAATAATTCGGAGACCCAGTCCAACTTGTCAATGCAGTTCATTCTGCGCTATCTGTTCTATTTCTGTAAGCAAAAAACACGAAAGCAGCGTAGCCTAGGGGGCCTATAAACCTGTAATGAATCTTAGGAAAAGAGCAAGATAGAGAAAAACAGCAAAACCAAAACAAACCAAAAGAAAACAAACAAACAAACAAACATGCGCAACCCCCCCAAAAAAACCAAAAATCCCAAAGCCCCCAAAAAACAAAACACACAACCACCCTCCCCCAAAAAAACCAAAAACAAGAAGGTACATAATGTAGGCTATTATAATACACAGTTTGAGTACACATGGGTCTATAGAGCAATCACAGGCCTTTGTTTTTATTAATCGTCTACAAACATGGACGAACTAAACACGTCACAACGACTGAACGCAGTACACAGCTCCATAGTTATATACATAGACTGACCAGGCCAAACGTATGTAGGATTATCTTGTCTGTTGGAAGTTGATATAAAATAATCCTAACACAATTGCTCTCTTTTTCAGTTTGGTTAGCTCAAAAAAAGAAAGGAATGGCGCTAATTAATGTTGCGAGATAAATAATTTGTTTGCTTCCTGGAGACACACTTATACACTAAGGTGTGACTTTGGAGACCTCTGGAAAGAGACGTTTGGTGTGAGAGGTAGAAAAGAATTGGCGGATCACCCTGTTTGTGTTATTAAAATACGGATAATATACAGACACTCCTATATATGCTAATACGTTTGGCGAGTTTCATACTACATCTAAATGGAATGACAGTGTCACTGAAATTCCAACACAGGGATGAATGCATTGAATTTTGTTGTTTTGCCTAAGTTATGTGCCGATAGAGAAATACCCAAGTAAGACATGAAACTTTGCATGGTCGTGGTATAAACTAGTGGAGGTTTGTGTGCTAACACGTAACTATCTCCCATGGGAAGATGTGTGTCCTGAAAAGAAGAGGTAAGTGCTTCATACTTGACATTTTGACCGGTATGCCCTATCGTCAGGAAATGAAGATCTGAAGATGATCACAGCGTATTGATCGAAATGTCAAATTTTAACCACTCATCGGTTCTTTTCAGAACCAGACATCTCCCCAAAGAGATAGTCACATGGTGCTGTCGCAAATCTTCAAAAGCAAAATACTTGATGGAAAAAGATAAATACTGCAACTTGGACAACTACACAGCTTAAAAGAGAACGACAATAACACATGATAAAACATGTTTAGTGTTTACTTACCAATTTCGTTGTGCAACTTTGTGCATTTGAAAAAGTACAGCATCATCTGTGTGATATCATTATAAATGTATTTGCTGGTTGGAGAGTCATAAAGTTTAATCGATCTGATAAGTGATGTATTCTGGATTCATTGACATTAAAAAATATAACTATGTTTTCGGCACCTCATAAGAATACCCCCCCAAAAAAACAAACAAAAACAACCAAAAAACAGAACAAAACTGAAACGTTGGAGTCAAAGCAACCATAATGACTTGAAAAATGCTAAGCAGGTGTATTCAACTGTTTAGTTAGCAATTCAAACTTTTGTTTTGCTTTAGATTTTACACCAATATTAATATGACTGGCATTATATTAGCACTCTAAATCGTTAAAATATTCAGTTTGCTTAGAAGATCCAACTGATTTTCTATTGGTGATAGGGAGTTGCCATGAAGACAATGGTAAGACTGGCTGGTGAATGGAATACCATTCATAGAATATTTTTATGATAGCAGTCTTAACTACAGGTAGTTATTCTGATGCGGTGCCGATGGGAAGAATATTTTCAGTTTTATTGTTACAGCTGTATTGGCTATGCTTCAACACGAGATACAATTATACATCAATATCCCTCCATAAAACGGATAATAAACTTGTCATTTGTTTGAACAAAAATTACATATACAAACTACAAAGGGAATACATGCAAAGTTTAAAAAAAGCAACCTGAAACCTACAACATCTAAGTGACCGCCAAGGGGCGTCTAGAACTACAAGAAGAATGGTACGGGGGGGCATGCTAATACAGGCGCTGAATTCATTGATCAGAAATAATGTACAAGCCACAATAGTAGAAATTTACCACGAAATAGGTAAGAAGTGTATTAAGATTAGGTGGGTAAAAATGGAGAAAAAAACAGTGACTAGGGGGGAGTGTGGTTATCCAGAAACCATGAAGAGTACACATGAGATAGAAATGCTTGGAAAGTTTGCAATCTTCAGATATATTTGGTTAAAGTTGAGAATACCAAAAGATCTAGGCGTGGAAAGTTAAAGAAAATGAATAAGGTCAAAACAGAGGAAAGGACTACAGAATGAAAAGCGTGCTTTAGAAATTAATATTAGACCTAAAACATTTCTTTCATTGAAAGAGAGAAGTGTAATAAGTAGCCCATTACTATATAATTATGGCAGCATGATTGAGGTCATTTTGTGCAAGAACCATTCATATTTGTTTTCAAGACGAAAGTGAATTTCAATTTCACTCGAATAAAAAGCTGAAAATCTTTTCAACCACACAAAATATAAAAATTTATTTCTAACAACCTACTAGCTATTCATTAGAAAAAAATAGAATAAAAATACCCAAGTTTCTTTAAGATAATACATACAATGGAAGAAATTTGGAAAAGAAACATGGGAAGAATGCTGGTCTTAAGTCTGAATTTCTGCTTTCAGTATTAGATCAAATGTACATGTACATATGCAGTGAGCAACAATATTGATTCATAATAACTTTAGTTAAGGTGGACAATGTCAAATGTCTCTAGAATCTACTGTAAGTTTCACTACCATTAACAAATCTAGAAGAATTCAATCAGCTACGGCAAGTTTCTTTGGGGTATAATTTGTGTGTTTAAAGGTAGCTTCCTAGAATGACCCCTCCTCCATTTGTCGTGGGTGAGTTAATACAAAATCACAAATATGAATAGCACCATTGTTTAAAGACAGAAGTCCCTTACCACCACACAAGGGTGACTGGTAAAAGGCACTTGTAGTTTTTATATAAGAATGACAGCTGCTAGGCCATGCCCTTTAGTTGAAGCAGACAGGACCTGCCTTGTAACCAAATCTTTGAGACCGTTGGCCAAAGTCATAGGCTGCAAAGTCGATGATGGGGAGTTGCTGCAGCTTGGTGGTGTTGACAAACAGAACTGTCTCTCCTTTACCAGGCTTATTCTGACAACAGTAACATACACGAGAAGCAAAACATTCACAATGAGCAGTTTAAGATCAATTTTAGGGGGTGGGGGAAGGAGGAATTACAGACAACCAATTGTTCAAGTCTTTTGGAGGGTAAATTCTGAAAACCTAATGTGACCCCTGATATTTAAAAAGGCCCATAATTATGTTCCCATTCCAAGGATAGATTTCAGGCAGATGGTTTGGTAGACTTGTCATCCAGTCTCTTTCATAAACCTGCGTAAATTATTGATGTGTCACCCTAAACTACTGAACAAATCAGAGTATTTTTCAAAGTTGGATGGAAATCCTTGTTTGGAAAATTGAGTAGTCTGTGCACATTAGCTGGTCTCCATATCTGAATGTGTTGACTTTAATACATTAGCCACCACCGTTTGAAAAATCATTCATCTTCTTGAATCTTCCATAGGAATTTCACATCACAATAGAGTAGCCTTTTTGTTTTTTTCTGAGGGTGGGAGGATATCTGAAATGTTACCTTGCATTCATCTAGAAGGACTGTTGGCTCCAAAAGAGTACCGTAGCCAAATTCATCCTCATTAGCTCCTTGTAGTTTAATGGCTTTGTCAAAGTGTCCTTCTTCTTTGTCATACCAGCCAACACTGCGACTGCACAGGTAGGTGAAATTCTGGGTAGCATGGGTGCTGAGGAGCCGTAGGAAAGTCAGCTGAACAGTGCTGATGCTGCTGTAGGTAAGCTAGTGAGAAATTGGCAGGGAAACCTCTAGATATCAGTTTTTAGGACTGATATAGATTAACAGGTGAGTTTGAGGAAAAACAAGGATATCCATAACTGTAAATGTTTATGTAATTCTAAGGATAAACGTATTAGGTTATAGAGAACTGTTCCTGAAATGTACCGGGTGACCCCACCCCCCAAAACACACAACCTCAAAATAACATTTATTTTCTTTCAAAATAATTGTCAGAAATTGATGTTTTTGGTATCAAACTGAAGCTTAGGATGTTCACTTTTCAAAACTAAACATTTTGTTTAAAATTGATGATGCATTGCTCAGTCTCGAATACGTAATTGTACTCATTTTTTGTTCCGTCAAATAGAAGTTTATACAGATATTATTTCTTGCAAGTGCATGCAGTCACTGAATTTAATCCCAGAATTATCACACCACTGTTTTTTTTTTCAAATTTCTCTCCACCTCTTAATTTGAAGAAACTGATGCTTATTTCAGAGGACAATGGTTGTTTCTTAATTGTACATTTACAGTGTTTTATGAGTTTGTTTCAGAGAAAACCGCTTTGGCTGAACCTGAGCAATTGACCTCATTCATTTGTAATAAGGTGCTTATCTTATTTACCTCTGGAACATTAACCACTTTCACCTATTTAAGAATCCTGGAAAATCAAAGAAGTGGTAACGTTACATTAGAGTACTCTTCAGTTCAGTATCCTCATTACGTTTAATGCTGTTTAAGTATTTTGATTGCTTTGGTAAATTTTAGTGGACAGAACAAAAAAGCATTTGTCTTGTAATCAAGAATATCTCTGCAATATATCATCAGATTTAAAAGAGGTTTTCATTTTTGAAAATGTTTAGCTTCAATTGGATACAAACCCTCCCCAGTTTCTAACAATTATTTTCAAAGAAATAAACATTACATTAAGGTTGCTTTTTTTTTGGGGGGGGAAGAGGTTTACCCCTTTAGAAGCTACAAATGTAGCATTTGGTTAGTGGCATTGTGAATATGGCTCTGGTGAGGGAAAAAGGTAGATTCTTCTGAACATCTGTGATGAAATAATCCTTCTTCACAATGCCCGGGGGGGGGTTCCGGTTGGTTAAATATACTGATGATTGTCATACATAAACAGAAGCAGCAAAGATCAATGGATTTTATCGGGGGGGAGGTATGTAACCTCCTCTCTTTTGCTACTCAAATTTCATGTGCACACACCTGACCATCCACAATGATTTACTGGGAACTGCATGAGAAAACACTGTCCAGCAGATCCCGTTATAATTCTTTTCTTGTTGCCATCGTCATTGATATCACCGTATGAGACATCACATATTGCTGTATGTCATACATATTCATGATTAAGAGCCAAATTCTCACTGGTCCAGACATGCATGCAAGGATTGATGCAAAAGTCATATATGCAAGTGTAGCTGTTCCCTGGGTGAACTAGGAAAACAGTTTATAAGTGTGCTTTATAAAGTTATTGTGAAACTGTCACCTGGTTGAAGTACACATGTATAAGCATGAAAAGGGTTTATTTTCAAAGATGCCTGAAATTGTGATGGCAACTGAATAATATTTCTGAAGTATGGTAAAATAAAAGATAGCACAGTTCATTTCATGTGGATAGTTGACGTTAGCTCCGCAAAGTTTCAGAAGTTGACAAACATTTCCCTTAGCTTCACCTCAGGAAAAAGGTTGTCAATTTCTGTTACCTTGAGGAGCGAACACGGACAATCCACCCTCGAGCCATGTTACACCTGTATTCTATTTCATCTGTAGAACACATACCGGACTTGACTTTGTTTCACTGAACCATGAGCCTGGCTTGCTTTTTCGGTAACCTCGCAACTAAAAAAAAAGAGGAAGATAGTGAGAAACAAATGAGATTGCTTAACCTCAACAATGCTATGCTTCAGAAAGATGAATGCTATGTGGTTTTCTTTATAGGTGTCTGTGGCAGGAGGGGTCAAATCATTTCAGTCATTGATTAACAGATTCTCCTCAGAATCACCTCTTTCTGTTTGAAACATCAAGTAAATTGCATTTTTATTGAACCAGACTGCTGTTGAAATACTTTCGGTAGTATGTTGCATATGGTTCAGCAAGAAATTGTTGATATTGGAGTCCAGTATTGACGAGTCCTCTTGCCAGATGGTGTAATATAAACTATTCATGGTAATTTTTTTTAACACATGTCATTATCAAACACACAAAAAATTAAACCCTTATGACACTATCCAACATTTTCAGAAAAATATTCCATCAAATCTCCAGTTAAAAAAACTTAAATTATTCTGTTTTCAGTGGTATAAATGAAATAACAAATTTCTTTTCAATTTAGAAAAATGATGATTTGTACATAGTAACTTCAACATTTCAACATAGTTTGGAGTGGAAAGTAGTCACGGTCAACTCAAATATCATGCAAACGAGTACCTTTGCAAACATATTCACTAACAAAATTCACCATTTATCTTGCATATGGAATACAACCTGGAAATGAAGACGGTACTGAGCATGCCCTTTTGCATTGTCAGGGTACATTCAGTCATTAAGTGAGAGTTGTGTTATAGTTTGACTATGATACCAAAGTGATTGGATTTCTGAATATCAAATATGTGCATAGTTGCAATTTTACTTTTACCATTATTGAATAAATTCATGTCACGTAAACAATGTAATTTGATAGAAAATGTATCTCAAACTCCAACCAATGGTCAACATGAAAAGTACAAGTTGCTTATTCTAAAAATTATCATTAATGACTGATGAAGTCTCAAACAATACAAATTACATGCATGGAGATCAAGTCATTTTGCTGTCACTTGTGTGTCGTGACTTTGTTGACTCATATGCTTAAAAAAGTCCCAATCAACTAATTATCGGCACAAAGTCTGGGCACAATTATAACTGAGTGTTTATGATGTTCAGAAATAATGTAAGCAGTCATACAAAATCGGCATCAGTAAACTGAGTCAGACGGTGAATAAGATAGTGGAAACAAACATAAAACTGAAGTCTAAATTTGTGTACCACATCTTCCTGGAGGTAATCCTCAGGCTTCCCCACAGATGTATTAGAATGCACATACAGGGAGAGAGAGAGAGAAAAAGACACAAGAGACCAAGAAAGGTTAACATTCCCAGAAACAAATGATGCAAATCACACAGGCAGCAAAGAGAAGGAATGGGGGAGTAAGCTGGAGAAGGCAATTGAACAGCCATTAAAAGAAAATCAAATTTTAATCTTATTTGAAAATATTACAAGATTATGCTTGAAATTAAGCTTGTCCATCCAAATTACTTCATCAGTTCATATTTGGACTTGTGAATTGTTGGTGGAATATCTGCCCTTTCAAGTTCTATCCAAAACAGTTTTTAAACTCTCTGAGATAGGATGGTTTTGTCTACCCAAAAAGGGGGGAAAGTAGTGTGACGTAAACAATATGATCCTTGCTTCCAAATTAACTTTTGCAAAAATAGGATGTTGGTTAAACTATGGTGCAAACAATGTTAGGAATAATATTACTATTCTTTGCTGTTCATGTTCTAACAAAACGTGATGAAGTTGTTATTTTGAACTAATGACTACAAATTAATAGCAGAGCAATGCTTTTTTTGATAAATCATTAGCTTTTTCAATTATAAAATTTTGTAAGTTACACAAAGACAACAAAATTGCAAAGATGGTGAGTACTTATTTATCCCCAGGCTGGGTATATTTTAAGCTGAATATTTTGAGCATTGTGTAAACCTATTTGTCATTTTCTGATGACAAACTAAGAGTTTCTTTATATATATCAGTACATTGATTATACAGTGATTTGGGATGTATGCGTTTGTCATCAAGAATAAAAATTGTGCAGTTTCACAAAAGGAAGCAAATAGAAAAGTTAAGTGGCTAAAATGCAATTGGGCAGCACCAACTCATGGGCTAAAAGAGAATGAAACTAGGCTAACTCTTCCCCTGACTTGACAACTTTAGTGAAGTATAGATGCAGGATTGCAGCTTCATTACTTAAGAATTTCAAGGCAGTCCAATCAAGATGGGTATTAGTCATTCAACTGAAGTGGTCTACAGTTAGACACTACTGTTAAATTTCAAATTACATTATGCAATGTCAGGAAGCTGATGCAAAATTAATTCTTGGGGAACATCTTTGCATGCCAAGAAATAAATATCTAAGACCAAAGCAACAAAAAAGTGCTTCAACTTCATGCATTAAAACATGTTGCCTCTTACTTTTTTAATCTGGTAATAAGACAGAATGAATGAGAAGGTACATTAAAATTTGTATATTTCGACAAAATAGTTGCATGTGCAAATATATTTTAACCTTTGTAGTGTTCCTGGGAACAACTTACTAGGGTGGAATGGTTAAGCAGTAAATAAATGGTTAAAGGAGTTCATTATGAAAGCACGTAGTGAATTTCCCTTTCACCAAATAATTTTTAAGGAAAACGAGAACAGTATGTTTGTTGACTCATTGTAGTCTAAACATACTCAAATAAACCACATACATTTGTTATTTTCATGGTTTAAAACCAATGCCAATTTTGATGTCATACCTGCCGAGAGACAGGTAACCAGACACTCCCCCTGTACTTTTCTATTTTTTTTCTCGATTTTACAAGATATTACAATTTTATTGAAATTACTGAGCTTAAATGTAAAATGTCCCTAAAATGGAAAGGGGATTAGTTAAAACAAAGTGAACAGTTCAGATTTCTTATATCAATGTCACAATTTGATTGTGCTCTATGCATGTCTTTTAAGGAAATATGGAAGTGATTTTGGTAGCTTAGGCTGCGTCCAAATCTATTGCCTAGAGCTAGGTCTAGGTCTTCACTCCACTGGAAATGCATGGAGATACGCAGACATTAGACCTAGCCGTAGCTCTGGAAGCCTGTTTCGGACACGGCCTTACTGATAAAACTTACACCATGTTTGTCCCCAGTCTGTACTTAGAGTACAACAACACAACCTCAGAAGGTGGGGTTGGGTGTGTGCTAGCTTAAATAACACATGCACTGCGGAAATATTTTGCTACGTACATCATCTCCTTGTTGATCAGGATAGATACAGGTCTCTCCTTCAGCAGTCATGTTGCAAAAGACCTCCAAGGCATCTTTGGTACATCCCTGGTTGGGATCCACCCAATAATGACCTGCAGGATGACCAATTAATCCAAAAGAGACAAGATGATCAAAGATGCAGAAACCAAGTTGGAAGGGAAATAGAAAGATGTACCTTTTGTTTCTTTTCCTTTTAAAAAGCTCAACAAGATCAAAAATCGAAATGGGCAACTTAAGACGAACATAAATTTTTTTATGGATAATGACAATTTAACACAAAGTTTGGCCCTTCACTAATAAAACACTAAAAGAACAATATACTCTGCAAGCTTGTTGCAAAAACATACTGAGCTGACTTAGATTAAAACCTACAATATCTTGTTTACTTGAGCAGAAGTCTTCAAACTGTCCACCAAGATTACCAGAATCAGTTGGCCAATGGCATTACAAACTTCTGGTGAAGCATATATAAGAATGTGAAATCTCCAACGCAGGAGGCCTACCGTCTGGGAAATCCTTGTGGCTAAGATACAGGTCCTTGCAGGTTCGAGCAGGGTTCTTGATGGAACCAATGGGGTTTTTCATCTGTTCCATCTCCTCTTTCAGTGCACGAAGAGATGTGAAGAGCTGCACCAAGGCTTCCATGTAGGCCTGTGAAAAAAAACAAAAAACAAAAGCATCAATACAATAGTGTTGCAACAGGAGGCCCCTCCTTCAAGAAAAAGGACTTTCTGTAGCACCGTCAGTTCTTCATGGCCAGCAGCAGAGCATTGTGTTAAAACAAACTTGTGTTAAAAAGAAAAGATTCCTGTTAAATTATTCCCTGAAACAGAAAACTTACTTCTGGTAATTCTCCGTAATCAGAATAGAAGTAGTCCTCTGCACTCTCAGGTATCTGATTGTCTTCAAACTCTTTGTAAGGACCAGTGTCTGGATCCATGCCAGCAAACGGGTCATCACCAGCTGCTCTCCTACGTCTCTTGACTGATCCTTCATAGCTACTGCCACTACTACTGGCTTCCCCTGGTCCACCACCACCACCTCCAGGGGCAGCAGTGAATGGGGCATAAGTCCCTCCTGGGAAGTCTGGAGAGAAATTGGGGTAGAGGTCTGGACGGATGTTCAGGATGCCTTGATCCAACAAAGCTTGCAGGTACTACAGAGAATAGAGGAAATTTGTTTCCAAAATGTCACAAGATTCAAAGAATCTAAGAAAATAATTTCAAAGATACAACAACCCTAACACTCTGGGTTGTGTGTAAAATCATATTGAAATCAGGGGATATCTCATTGTTAGGGGGCTGACAAGTTATTTACTTTATTTGGAAACTGAAATTATTTTAAATACTTACTGCTGCACTTGCTTCTGGTCCCTAAATTGGCAACAGAAAGAGATAATAAAGTAGAAATTCATAAATTTACCCAAAGAAAAAGTTGTGATTTCCCACTTTAATTATTTCATTTACTTCACTTAATCTGATTTATGGAATACACTTAACTTTATAAATTATATACACTTGTTTTGTAATTAATACTTACTGGAGGTCCAGGTGGTCCCTGATAATAAAACAGAAAAGACAAAAGAGAATGTGAATACAGATGATGCCACAATTGTACATCTTACAGGCCACAGAATGAAGAGTCCAGAGAATTGAAAAACAGTGATTTCTGTGGAAAAGTAGGCAGATGTAAATAAAGGCCATCTCGATTAAATGCGACATGCTGAAAACCTTAAAGAATCCTTACTGCAGAAGACAGGAAACTGTAATTAAAGCTTCACAAGAGTTCAAAAAATATGTACACAGCAATGTAAACAAGAAAAATAAGATAAAGAGGCTAATGGGCACTGTGAGTCACTCTAGCGGTAACAAGAGTAGACAGGCTCGTGGAAAGGGACAGATAGTTGACTTACTGCAGGTCCTATATCTCCCTTGATGCCAGTGTCTCCACGTGGACCTTGTGGTCCAGGTGGTCCTGGGACTCCCTGTGGTAAACCAAGAAATGAAAGTATTATCCTAAAATACATGCATACATTTACCTCTTTAATATCAATCACTGGTTCTAATAAATATCCAAGTTCTTGTTTGTTTAATTGTTGACTAATGCAACTTTTCTCGTTTTGTTACTTGGTTAGTCTGTTACTTTTACAATGTGTTGTTAACATTTTTATTGGAAATGGGAGTTACAAACAGGAGATTAGTTACCCACAGAGACGGAAATCAGCGAAAACAATTATTTTCAACAGTTTTTTAAATAACGGAAACAGACATGCTTTTCCAGTTTTTGGAAAGTCAGTATCGAGAATGAACCTTAACAAATTCAAAACATTTAATGTAACATCTGTTTTGACAGTGTTAGATCTGTTTACTGAATAAGAGATCTGCATTCTCAAGATAAAATCAGTCAATACAATTATATTTTAATGACAGAGCTTCATATACATCTCAAAGAACATCTTGAAAATGGCAAGTTTTCATCATGAATACCAGCTGTTCTAGATAGAAAAATAGTGAGATGGCAGTCCACTGCTGGTATCTCTGGTTTTAACTGTTTAGACATTTAAAGACATTTTGAAAAAAAATTAGTCATTACCGGTCAAGATGTTATGTGTTATGCATTGCTTAGGACTAGTTCAAAGCTGGTTTTTGCTTGGCATTGAAACTGAGCACTTATTTGAAGCTTGATAAAACTCATACTATTAGGTCCTGATGTCCATTCCAATGTCCCAACAGATGGTGCCTTGAAATCAGCTTGTTTCAGAAACAACATCAGGACACTGCTCTTGTCCACAAGAAATGCTTCATATTCCCAAATGGGAATCCCAAGTTTTGAGATGCCATTGACCAATGCCTGTGTTTCTTGAACCAAAATGGTCAGTTGATGAACTGTGTACTTATCCCTTGACTACATGGGTCAACTTCTCACTTACCCGTGGACCCGGGGGACCTTCTGGTCCCATTGGTCCCTGAGGTCCTTCAACACCCTAAGAGAAACAAACACACAAAAGTGAAGATGACAAAAGCTTTTCCCTCAACTTCAAATGTGTAAAGCTACAGTTAAATCTGATTAAAAATGACCAGTTCATTACTGACCACTATGATGAACAGAGTGCCAGTAATTGACGGGTGCATATAAAAGCATTTAGAATCACATTGTCACTTCGAACTCTCTCAAGGTGGTAGAGAACTGTTTGTCCACATAACAGATCAGAATCTGAGACATACTCACATTCAGTATTAAACGGAAATCTTACAAATGATTAAAGCTACGTCAGCAGAGACAAAACAACACAATGTCATTTCTTCCCAGATAAACTGACCAAGGACAATGTTCGTGATTTGAAAGTGAGGACAAGTTTCCTTTATTATGGGTGGAGTTTGGTAGGAAGTGGGAGTCATCTAACCTGTTCACCCTTTGGTCCTCGAGGACCTGGTTCACCCACGTCTCCTTTATCTCCTTTTTCACCAGGATCTCCAACCTCACCAGTCAGTCCCATTAAACCAAGGTNNCCCCCTGCAAAGTGAAAGAGTTGAACAAAAATCCTCTGTGGAATGTGAGTAGACATTTTGTTGATTGTCTCCTGTGCCAAGAGGATTTTTCTCTAGGTTTTCTAGTTTCCTTATATCAACACCACCTCAAGCAGCTTCTGCACATTTAATGAGAATCCTCAGAATGGATTTTATGTGAATAGTAAGAACTATTAAAAACTACAGTGCATTAATAAGCTGCACAGTATCCAACATGATTTGTTTTATATAAAGACAATGATTTATTATCATTATTCCTGCTCAGCAGGCTCCCAACATCTGAACATTCAGAATATAAGCCACGGCTTATACCTTGATTCTCACACTGAAAAATGTCCCTGTGGCTTGTACTCTGGGCAGCTTTATATCCAGTCTGTTGAGCCAGCCTTTCGCCACCTGAACAAGAGCGCTGCAGACTACGCCCGCCTCCACATCAGCCAAGCCCTCAAGAACCACAAGCCCGTCAAGCCCAACATCTCCAAGACCAAACAGCAAGCCATCAACAACCTACGAAGAGATCACTCCATCCACTTCCTCACTGCAGACAAGGGGAACACAACCGTCGTCATGGACAAAGCTGACTATGACCGTAAGGTGCAGGATATTCTTGAGTTGGGTGCCTACTGGCCCCTTCACAAGAACCCCATACCTTCCATCCAAAAGAGATTCCAGGCTAAGCTCCTAGCCCTCCAACGGTCAGCATCTCCATGGCCCTATACCGACAGCTTCAACCCTCCAGTACAAGATGTCCAAGATTCTTTGGCCAGCCCAAGATACACAAGACCAGTATCCCACTACGACCCATTGTAGCTTCCCGAGGCGGCCCCACCTACAACACCGCCAGGCACCTCACCAAGATCCTTCACCCTCTGGTCGGCAACACCCCATATCATATCAAGAACTCGGACCAGTTCGCCCAGTTCATCAACGGGTTGTCTCTACACCCCACAGACATAATGGTCAGCTTCGAAGTGGTCTCTCTCTTCACTAATGTACCCACATCCGAAGCATGCACCATCGCCAAGGATAGGTTACTTCAAGATCCCTTACTCAGCGACCAGACCAACCTCACACCACATCAAATCCACGATCTCCTGATCAGCTGCATATCATCTTCCTGCTTCCAGTGGAGAGACAAATTCTTCGAGCAGTCTTCCGGAACCTCCATGGGATCGCCTCTATCCCCGGTTCTGGCAGACCTGTTCATGGAAGAATTTGCGCAGACAGCCCTCTTCTCCGCAGACCTCAAGCCCAGTGTATGGATCCGGTATGTGGATGACACTTTTGTCGTCTAGCCACACAGCCCACAAGACCTCCAGCTGTTCCTTCAACACCTCAACAGCCAACACAACGACATCCAATTCACCATGGAGAAGGAACAAGACGGACGCATTGCATTCTTGGATGTCGAGGTTTCAAGACTACAAGATGGCACCCTATCCCACACAGTATATAGGAAGCCCACACACACTGACCGCTACCTGAACAACCGGTCATTCCACCACCCCAGCATCAAGGCCTCCGTCAACAGAACACTCGTACGTCGAGCATACAACATCTGTGACCAAAATCACCTGCAACCGG